TTGCATTGACTCGGAGCTGAGCCGATGCCGGAGTACCATTACTGTGAGTGGAACTAGAACACAGTGCCACGTATGAGAAGGGCAGCGTCATGTCTTCGTCACACAATGGGTACTGACTAGTCGCTACCGAGCATTGTGACGGGCGATGCTCGACTTGTAGAAGCAGATGGACGCGAGAGAGAGCGATAAGTCGCTTTCGAGTTGGGAGCTGGGATAGGGATCTCGCTTAAACCCTGATCCAATAAATGTTTCGGGTTAACTCCGCTGCCAGTTTGGAGCTAAAAAGACTACTACTTTGATGTTGCCGTAAACACACGGCTTGCGAAAGATAAACTGGGTGACGGTTGAGCATTTCCGAGCTCACGCTGGCTCTAACCCTGCAGGGTATACTGGGGGTTCGAGTTGGCAGCGCCGTCTGGGCGAGCTTCGAATTCCCAGCTGGCTGAGAAGCCCGGTGATCGTGGTAATGTGGAGACAGGTCTGGGCCAGTTTAGCTCTACCACGGGGTTAGAGCCCGTCTTTAATTCACAGAAAAAAATAGAATTTTTTGAAACGTATTGTATTAATGTGGTGTTGTTGCTTATAGTTCTGAATTTCTGAAGTATGTACGTACGTATTGATGATGCGATGTGTTTTTAGATTAACGAATACTTTTATTCGTTACGTAATTCCTAAGCGACCATTATAATGATGTTATAACATTGCTTTTAGGCTGCAGATTCTTTTTTCTCAATTTTTTTTCTGTTGTTTTTTTTTTAATTTTTTTATTTGTCTGGAAGCGCTGGAGTCCAGCACAACCCGGTCTGTTACCCCTCTCGACCGGGAAACCGTAAACGGACATCCCACCGTTAAAAAAAAGGCTGCAGATTCCAGCTTTTTTCTTGTAATTTTGTTATCAATTATTAGTTTATTTAACGAGAACGCAAACAATGAAGAAACAAAAGATAATATGTACTCGTGAGGCCCTTAAGTATTTTAAAAGAATGTCATGAAAAACTTGTAACTATACCTATAAAACATTTAAATACATGTTTATGCCAAGTCCATTGAAGGTTGTTGAAGCGATAGTAAACACATTTTACGACAGTTGTAACACAGTTTTCGAATTTCTTTCTTTTTATTATATAACATTATTGAAATCATTAAGAGAATTATCTGCAGTGCGGAGGTTATGCAACTGACGACATGGGTTTCTTGGAGTTGTTAGCAATATACGTCCTAACTGTCCCCTTTCAGTCAGTGGTTGTGCATGTTTTACTTCATTAAAGTTTTAAATATAAATTAACTGATCTGATAGACGTTGAAACTCATCGTTTTGCGAATTTATCAATTTCCCGCGAAACTTTCTGAACATTTTTAGCATTATAAAAATCTAATCAGTACAGCTCTTGTTCTGAAAGATGTGAATTATAAAGAATTGAAGATTTCAGGTATAGTTTCTCAGTTTCAGTAAATTAATGTTCATGTTTCATTCAACTTAAAAATGTGCAAACGTATCAAGAACCCATATAGTTATTTATTACTTTGTCCTGACATGATATCTAGAATCACCTATTTTAATAGCTTAAAACTATAAATTAGTTAATTTTTAAAATGATAAATGATGTTAATGTTCGAATCTCAGGCGGGTACCAATTTTTCTAATGAAATACGTACCTACTCAACAAATGTTCACGATTGACTTCCACGCGTGAAGGAATAGCATCGTGTAATAAAAATCAAACCCGCAAAAATTATAATTTGCGTAATTACTGGTGGTAGGATCTCTTGTGCGTCCGCGCGGGTGGGTACCACCACCTTGCCTATTTTTGCCGTGAAGCAGTAATGCGTTTCGGTTTGAAGGGCGGGGCAGCCGTTGTAACTATACCTAAGACCTTAGAAGTTATATCTCAATGTGGGTGGCGCATTTACGTTGTGGATGTCTATGGGCTTCAGTAACCACTTAACACCAGGTGGGAAGTGAGCTCGTCCACCCATCTAAGCAATAAAAAAAAATGCGAATCTAAACAACTGTAAGTAATAACTGTAAGTAAGATTGATGCAAATAAAATCTCTTAAACTGCAATTAATCTCGAATTGATGTACAAAAAAATATTTTTTAAGTAATGTGAGTAATTTATAAAACAGGTGACGCTTAGACCCTCCTTGGCTCTAGTGGAAACGAGGAGAGCATTCGCCAGATGCTTTTGTATTACTTTAAGAGTTTCCAATTTATGAGCCTATTAAGCGACTAGCTTACTAAATGTATGCCTGTGTGTCCTGGCCAACGAATAGTATACAGTATAGTTGTTTATTAGCAGTTTGACTTCCAGCCGTTCCCTTAGAACATAATCGACGCTTGAAAAACAAACGTGACAAAGCGACAATGCGTGAACTTTACAGTAGACTAATTTAAAGTTGAAATACCTGAAAAAAAATCTATTTTAACCAATCTAGTGGTAGGTTTGAAATGATTTCAATAAACCTAGAAATATATTTTTTTTGGGCATCGAATATGGTTATTGTCTATCATTTTTGTATAAAGCAGTTATTGTCGCTTAGTCACGTTTGCCTTTCAAGCGTCGATATTTACAGATAAGTACATTCACATTATACATAACATACATTCAATCGAAGAACATGCCATTTTTGGAGCAGTCTAATGAAGGCGACGATAGAAAATTTAGTTTAATCAGAAGACATTACGAATAACATTAAGCATTTCGTTTTGTTATAAACATTTCGACGTCGGAAGAGCTCGGGCGGCCGGACGTGGAGTGATCGTGCGACACCGGACGCTTACGTCTATCACCCCACTAAATGCAATTTATACTGTGATAGCAAGTAATTATTACACTTAAAGTAATAGTGTATGTATTGTCCTTGACTCTTTTTGTTAAAACTGTTTTACTTAATAAGTATTTGAGGAGTTGTTGATACGAAACTGCTCTTGCTAGATAAATCAGTAAGAATAATAGGAGCTGTTTTATTACAGACACATTCATCTAAATTAATTTAATTAAGAGCACTTAGAATCGTAATCAACCAAGAAAAAGTTACAGTTTCACTAGCAGTTTTACAAAGTTAGATTATGCACAAATTTAGGACGTCTGCGAAGAAGCTCAGGTTCGTGAAAAATTGTTATCGAGTGGAATTGGAGTCGAAATCCCGCAGTACATAAATCCAACCGAGCCCAGGTGTTTCGTTTCGGTTAACTTGGTAAATTGGTCGGTGTTGTAGCAACTTGTCTTAAAACCGCACATTTAATTCATGGATTAAGGTGTTTTTCGGTGAAATTCAAATTGTAATATTAATGAAGATGGGGTTTTTTACGCTTTGACTATATTTAAATATAAATATAGATGGGCGGGCGAGTAAGCTCTCGTCCCAACTTCAGTTGAAGATTGGGTGATTATAGACATGCTTTAAATGAACACCTTTGGATGCCAGGTTGAAGTTTCAAATGGTTTTTTTTTTCCTATCTAAGCCAGTAGCCTTAGAGGCTATGCCAGCGTTACCGAGCGAGTAGGTGAGCTCACGGTACTCAAACCTCAAGACTTTACTCACACTAACTAGCCCCTAGCAAGTGCAGTGCTTCGCAGAATCTACCACCGGATTGGAAACGCGACTCACTGAGAAGATCCGGCGAGAAACTCAGTGGGCTTCTCAAATGTGTTAGAGTATCAACTGTTGAATAATTGCTATGCGGCAAAAGTGGGCAGCGATACAAATTAGCGGTGCTCACTACAGAACCTGTTACTGAGCATGGGGATTAGGAAAAAAGGCTACAGATTTAAAAAAAAAAACACTTGAATAGCAAATCGTACTAGTAATTAATTACATTTTATATTTTTATTCTGTTGATACTAGTTAAGGTTGATATAAATCAGAGCAAACATAAATAAAAAAGTATAATCATCGTTATACGCGTGAATTTTTAAATTAATCGTACGTCTTGAAGTCTGTGAAAATGACTTTCGCATGACCTTGCATATAAACATACATACTTACAAGTTACTACACCCCCGATTACCCTCTTCGGCCTACCTATACCTTGGGCTAGGAAGGTCAAGTACCTGGGAGTCACCCTGGATGCATCCATGACATTCCGCCCGCATATAAAAACAGTCCGCGATCGTGCCGCATTTATTCTCGGCAGACTCTATCCCATGATCTGTAAGCGGAGTAAAATGTCCCTTCGGAACAAGGTGACACTTTACAAAACTTGCATAAGGCCCGTCATGACTTACGCGAGTGTGGTGTTCGCTCACGCGGCCCGCACACACATAGACACCCTCCAATCCCTACAATCCCGCTTTTGCAGGTTAGCCGTCGGGGCTCCGTGGTTCGTGAGGAACGTCGACCTACACGACGACCTGGGCCTCGAATCGATCCGCAAACACATGAAGTCAGTGTCGGAACGTTACTTCGATAAGGCTATGCGTCATGATAATCGCCTTATCGTTGCCGCCGCTGACTACTCCCCGAATCCTGATCACGCAGGAGCAAGTCACCGTCGTTGCCCTAGACACGTCCTTACGGATCCATCAGATCCAATAACTCTTGCATTAGATACCTTCAGCTCTAACACTAGGAGCAGGCTGAGGAGCCCCGGTAACTGTACTCGTCGAACTCGACAAAGAGGTCGACGTGCAGCCTAACCCATGCATCAGCCCGCTGAGTTTCTCGCCGGATCTTCTCAGTGGGTCGCGATTCCGATCCGGTAGTAGATTCATTCGCGAAGCAACTGCTCTTGAGTTGTTAGGTCTCCTTCGGAGGCGCTCGGGCAGTTGTTAGCAAATCCCACCCCTCTTGGCTGAGCCTTTGCTCGCCCACCTGTCCTGGTGAAGCTGGAAAGGCTTCCGGGCCACCAGTAATATCTCAATCATAAAAAAAAAAAAAAAAAAACAAGTTACTAAAATTAAGTATACAAGATAATTATCCAACTATTACACACCATTATTATTTTTTAACAGCATATGTGATTTAAAATGTTTAAGCTTGTTTTTGTATACAGAGGGAAGGGTGACCCCCGGCATGAGGTCGGGGGAGGGCGGCGAGGGTTCCGAGCTGGCGGAGTTCGGTTCGCGGTGGCCGCCGCCCTACTCCTCAGCACAGGGCTACGGCTGGACACGCTCTGCCACGCCACAACATCCACCCGCACATAATCTAGCCAGGCATTCACGTTCGCAGCAGGTATTATCATTTCACTATTAAACTATAAATTTCAATTTAAAAAAACCTTGAACTTTATTACTGAGATTATTCATGTACAAATGTCGTCTTCTCGCATTAAAACTGTATAATCTCAAAACTTACCAATTTTACAGGAGAGTCTTTTAAAGATTTAACATGTGATATTTTTAATATTAATCATCTTTGCAACATTTTTTTATTATTTTGTTTTACCAGATACATTATCTGTCTTTTAAAGTAAGATAAAGTTATATATTAATTTTGTTAGTAGTAGTCAAAATATAGGTAAACTAAACAAAAAAGAAACTAAAACTAAACTACGCTCTTTTGACAGTATTTATGAGAAAGATATTGGTGATACCAAATGATTCCGCATATTAACTCAATTTCGAATATTTTTGGAAATTGTACACTTTTAATGCGAAAAGACGATGTATCGAAACAAACCCCCCTTTATAACCCTAATGACAGAGAAGCGTGCATACTACGAGATGGAATGCGGGCATTGCCTCCTATAGACATCGTCTGCTTACTGTAACAGCTTGTTAGGTCTCGTTTGAAGGTCTTATCGTAGCGCTCTGGAAATATCGTACAAGAGGGCTTATTCCGGACTTTCAACATTTTTGAAAAATACTGTTTAAAAGATTGCACTATACCGGACCTACCTAAGTGGTTTTAGGTTAAAACCTATGAAGTCCTTGGCCAGTGGCACGATGACAAAGAGATTCGGAAGGTCGATGATAAAATGAAAAATAAAAATATCCATACTTATAGATGCTTAGAGGCAAGCTTTAAGTCCACATAACGGGATAACGCTCGATATGTCGATCCAAAATATCCTGATGCTTTGGACCTCCATACAGGAATATCCTGTTTTAAAGTCGACTTCTAGGAATGAATGATCATTATTTACTTCTTTGCGGTGAACAAATCTGACCTTAAAACTATAAATATAATAGCAGAAGAGATGGTGATGTTTGCTTCACTATTTGATAATTAACGACAGTGGCTGCAAGAGAATCGTCAGAGCTATGAGGCGGAAGACGCACGTGCTCGTGCCCGGGGTGGCGTGTATTACTCTCCTCCGGGCACATCGTACACAATTATCGAAAGGCCGGCATCCTCGCACGGCCATCATGCTTCTTATTCGCATCACTACTCCGGGAAATTATCTAGAACACCTTACCTGGGATCAACTAACATAGCTAGCACTGCAGGTATAGTTCAAGTAGTGTTCATAAAACAAATAAAATATCAAAGTAGTTTTTTGTTAAAATAATTGACATAAAGGGATAGGTGAAATTACCGTATGTATACCTAGTGCCAAGCCGCTGCCAGAGCCCATAGAAATTAACGAATGCAAATATATTGCGAAATAGAAATCTTGATTGCATTGGAATAAGGAGTATCATAAAAATTGACAGATAATAATTTACATAACCTTGAAGTAATAAAAATCAATTGCGTAATTACTTGTGGTAGGACCCCTTGTGAGTCCGCACGGGTAGGCACCACCACTCTGCCTATTTCTGCCGTGAAGCAGTAATGCGTTTCGGTTTGAAGGGTGGGCCAGCCGTTGTAACTATACTGAGACCTTAAAACTCATATCTCAAGGTGGATGGCGGCATTTACCTTATAGATGTCTACGGGCTCCGGTAACTACTTAACACCAGGTGGGCTGTAAGCTCGTTCAACCAACTATTCAATAAAAATATAGAAAAAAGACAGGCAGGTCAGTGATACCCATCCATGCTAGTTAACAACACTCATTATCAGCATTATAATACATACATTTCATTTTACTCTAGTGGGCGCAACAAGCTTACGAAACAGCACGAACCACTTGAGTGTGAGCAACGGCAAAAAGCGTCCGATATCGCCGGAGCAAGTTCTCAGGTTATTTGGTCAAGGAGGAGCTGCCGCTTTGGGCAAGGCACTGCCGCCTTCGCATCCACCAGCGCCTTTGCCTGCTCCAGCTCGAAGACACTCTCCTGCCAGTAGCCCAAGCAGCACTACACATCATGTGAGTTTATGATCACGATACTGCTCTGCTATTTGTACAATAATATATATACATTTTTTTTATTGCCCTTGTAGGTAGACGAGCATACGGCCCACCTGATGGTGAGTGGTTACCGTCGCCAATGGACTTCAGCAATGCCAGGGGCAGAGCCAAGCCGCTGCCTATAATAAGCAATTTAATATTGAGATAGTTATAGAGTCGAAAAGATAAACAGTTTTAAGATTTTTCTCTGGTAAACAGCGAGTCTAAAAGTATCCATAAGTTCAAAGAAAATCAATTTAATCGATATTATCTACGTCAAGAATAAAAATTGTTAAATCGAAAGTTCAAAAATAGCCACGTGTGCCGTTGGTGGGTCAGAAGTGTCATGTTTGTAAATTATTCGAGGGGGAGACCGCATCAGTCGATAACACTTCTTTATTCATGACCTCAGCGTCGGCCGCTTAGAAACCACTTGTATGGACGCAGTCGCAAAATCATCGTTTGTCCGATCAACGCTAGCAGTTTTCATCATTTTACAATCAAAACGTACGGTTTTGATTGTTTCCCTATTGTTTGAAAACACGATCTGTTGTTATGCCTTAACTACACGAAAGTCGTAATTAAAAGTTCGGTTAGTGTGTTCTTGTAGGCGTGTCGAAGCCAAGCCCTTCATGTCACGGTCAGTCAACGACTGACCTACCGTCACCACAGTCAGTCGCGATACATTCAAAGCGTAATACGTTTTATTTGAAAGGTTAAATATTTGGAATCGTATTTTTTATATAAGAAAGTTTAACAATCATTTTACATTCCGTCTGCGTGCTAGTGCCGTTTGACTCAGACCAATTATTTCTGTTTCTCGTTTGAACAAAGCGAAAATAACAAGACGCCAATCCTATGTTGTTTGTGATTTGTTTACAGTGCGAATTATAAAAAGTGTCAGGTGTACTGTTTAAATAACCAAGCATTTCCTTTGAAAACATTTTCCAGTTTTTTAAATTGGACTTTTCGTTGAGTCCTAACAAAATTCAGGCTTTATCTAATTGTGTGTTTGTGAATTTATTGATCCAACGAAGAAATGTGGTATACAATATAGTTATAGAGAGTAATATTTTTATCGTTATGTTGTTAAGTGTCGCAAATTGGAGTAAGGCGGAGTGCTTATTGTGTCTCTCAAATTGGATTCCATCAAGGATTATGAGGTAACTGTTAAAAATCAACTATGATACATCTTCAAACATATTTCAAAGAAACAACAAAGTTCATATTCTAATTAAAATTTTAGTGATTTGGATTTTTAATGGACCTAAAAATCAAATAAAAACTGTTTATATTTTCGAAATATAGAATATTTCTTTCGATTGGTATAACAACTTATTGAATCGTTTAAAAATCTTTGGGAAAGGCCGCTAAGAATAAAAAAAGGCTTGGTATAGACTGTAGGCAATTAATTAATTAACAATATTGTTTAGGTAGATACAGTTTTTCACTTCAAAAACTCTTCCACTTTAGATAATTTTGAGTTTCAATAAAACCTCTTTTTTGGTTTTACAAGTTTTTAGGAAATTATTTGTTTGCTTCGATGATACCTACTCTCCATGTCAGATTAGACAGGATTGTGAGAGCGATTACTATGAGAAAGCACTTGTTGATCATGAACTTGTCTACAATTATGGGTTCAAAGAAAGTACACGGAGGTCAATAATCACATTTCAGTGCTGCAAATATACTGCATTCGCTCTTCGCCAGACAAAGTTAATAGGTATTGCCTGCCAAAAGTCTAGATTGTTTGAGAATTACAAACGATGTGTATTTTCCATTCATGAATATACTGTTTATTTGATATTCAAAATGTGCACCGTTTTACCGTTTTAAATGTTATTCCGGATCTTCCCGATCCATTGACGGTGCTTTTAGGTACCTCAAGCACCGGCCACAGTTCTCATCGAACCCGTCGCTCGGTTTCGGCGAGTAAATTAACCCACAGACGCCGCCCACTGAGTCTCCTCACGTCCTCAGGTTAGAGCCCCGTGAGCTCACCTACTCGTTCAGTGAATCTAGTATGACCCCTCAAGGTCACTAGAATAGGTAGGAAAAAAAAGGAACGCGCAGAAGTAGCTAAAGCTATTACCAAATATTATTTATACAAATATTATTTTGTCACTCTTAAATAACTACTTCCCGTTGACCTAGAATTATAAAATTCGGCAAGAGACAAGATGTTATAGCACAAATAAAAAGTTCGAAACTAATTAAATTATATACATACCTATAATACATTTATAATGTGATTTATAAACTTATTATGTATGTGTGTGTCATTCAATCAGATAAAGACCGCAACTAGGTTGGCTATGTCCGATATTTATGATTTAATACAATGATTTATTCATTTCGTTTATATTATAAATATAACGAAATAACAATGATTCTTTAATATTCTAAATGTGTTCATATCACAAATTAAAATACTTGCAAAGTCTGTTTGTTGCATGCAGAATTTCATTGTAGATAGAATGTTTAATCAAACGAATAATTTACTGACTGACTGAAAGCTGAATGATATGATGCACGCGCTTAAAGTCCGTAGCAAACATTGATTTTCATGATAAAATTAGACGTCACAAAACTTTTCTGAAAGCCGTAGCTAGCAATCATAAATGCATATTTAACGTTTATTTTTGAAATAAGCCCTTTCACTAGGCCACGTTCGATAATTTTGTCATCCTGATCTGGTAGTACTAATTCCACCAGAGCTTACATTAGCTAGTAATCGATAGAGGACGTTGTACAAGTTTGGAATCGCGCTAGAGTTATGTAACGTGGAATAATGAATGTTAAAGCAAAAACTTTAAGAGAGCATTGTTTCCTATGAATTCTCAGGACGCTAGTATAACTTATTCGGTTGTTTTACGTACGAACCTTTAATATTTTCGGGCAAAGTCCCTAATATATCAAGTACTAGTAACTATGCATGTAAAGTTTATTTGATTAACATCTGGCTCTGGTGTTCGGCCCATCAACATCTACCTTGTCTTGTTGCTGCTGTATATAGAATACGTCGACTGCTTTGCAGGACGAAAAACCTATAATTTCGAAATCGAAGACAAAAAACGGTATATATGAAATATGTATAGATCCTACGGGAGAAGAACGGTCAGCTTTATTTCATATCGTGACTGCGAATTCAAATCAAATGAATTAATTGCATTATAAACTCGCTAGTTTGAAACACAGTGAAGCGCTTGTCTGTTTAGAATTTCAATTTGTGTTTCAAAATTATACTTGGGCTAACCTACATTTATGATTAGAAGCAATGAAGTATGAAGATTATTTATTATTCATAGCAACTGCGGTTCGTATAATATACCTTCACTTGGTACAATTCTGCCCAAAAGTGGAACAGATATGACGCACGCAGTCGTACCACTCGAAGTACTGTCGCGACCAATCAATAAACATTTAATGCGGTAACAACAAGCCATCATTGGCCATTACGAAAAGGTCGTTTTCGACCGCGAAACGCTACATTACCGTTTTAGTATGAGGAACAGACGAATATTTAAATTGATTCCAATGAATCCTAACTACAGAAGCACAAAAATAGAAATAAGCTAACTCGAAAACTAAATGTTGTTAGTGGCACGGTATTTTTTCATAATAATTTAGGACGTTGTAAATGTAATGCATTTAGTTTGAACGTTAAAATTCTAAATTGGCAACCCACGTTTGAAACAATACAATTAGTTTGAAACATGATAATGTTTTATATTCGTGAGTTGTAGTAGTGTGTCTACGAAATGAGCGCTGTGGGGCGGCGTCTGCAGACAGTTGGGCGGCTTGGTTCTATTATTAAACCTGCTTTGAGATGTTAAGCGTTTCGTCTCAAGGAACACCGCTTACTCAGTTCAGCCCGCGCTTTGTTGTTTACGAAAATTGTGACAGACATAGCTTCGCCAAAGAAAATTGTGAAGTAGCGTAGTATTTGTATTTTTAAATTGACTCACTTATTTGATAGTCTGAACTAATAATTTGCTTAGTTTTATTTTAGTTTTCGTTGAGTTTTATACAACTGATAATAGTTTAATGCAACTAAATTGTCCTTATTATGAATTCATAACTATGGAAGGCGATACAATGAAAGATATGCTTAAAATTAACATTAATTAACACGTTAGGAAACTTTTAAACAATCTCAATTAATTTTGTTTTGAAATTTATAAGAACTAAAGGAATACATCTGTTAGCAAGGTCATATTTTCACCAAACTTTATAAAATAATTGTGTACTAAATTACGTTAAAAAAAAAAGTGTGTGTGTCCGCTCCGACGCACGACTGGAGTTTACTGGATATAAAAAATTAAACGAAACAATACGAGAAATAGTTCTATATTACGACAACACGATACACTACAGATTATTAACAAATTAACGAGACACAAAACAAACGACTAACAAATATATGAAAATACAATAATGAGAGAAACGCGCGATCAGTACGAGGCTTTGTGGCGGACTGCCGGCGCAGCAGCCCGGCGTCACCTGCGATAACGCGGCCGCGCGTTGGCTCCTGATTGGCGCGCGCACGCATCACGCAATCAGGAGCCAATCAGGCGCATAACGCATTTCGTGTGACATGCTAGTACGATTTTGATTGGCGCGCGCACGCATCACGCAATCAGGAGCCAATCAGGCGCATAACGCATTTCGTGTGACATGCTAGTACGATTTTGGTCCCCATAATTTTCATACCCCGGGCCTATATATGTAAATCGATTCTAAAGGAGTAAACTCCAATAAATATATAATAAGTAGAAAGCGTAGTGAGGGTAAGTTCCCCACTAGGTGAACTGGGTGCATACGAGCTGCGCAGGATCGGTCATTGTGGCGAACATTAGAGGTGTGGGTGTTCAGCAGTGGAGGTCGGTGGGCTGATGATTATAAGTAGAGGTGATAACTTCCAAGGAAAAATAGGTAGGTAAGGATAACCAAACCTCAGTTCGCGAACTATAGAGAACAGCTGTTAAGGTTTTGACAAACAAGGATTTCAGAAGACCAAGACTGCTCTGCAAAGAGCTACTGACTATGATGATGATAACTTATAGGACGCATAATAGAACAGCAATTGTAATCGAAACATTGCGTTATGTAAGTAGGTGTTAATTTATGTGAATTGTCCAAAAAATCATTTTTTGTTATAAAGCGGTTAAAGTCCTAATCGCGGCCACGAAATAAAAACATTTTTAATTATAATAGTTTTTTTCGATAGTAGGTTTTTTTTTTAATTTACGGTTTTGTATTTCAAAGAAAACAGTATAGATTAAATTACGGGCTTTGAAAAAAATCCGCGAAATATTTGTAAATTAATTAACTTTTTTTAAAAGTACCTAATGGGGTATTTTAAAAAATAAATATTCGTGAGTTTTTTTTGTGTGTATTTGCGTATTGTTAGCGAACGAGCGAACCAGTGCTTATTCCGATGTTGGAAAATTGTATACCTAATCATATTAATAGTTTTGGGGAAAGTTTATGTCATAATACTAGTCCCTACAATAAATGGGTGTTTTTTTAAATCTATAACGCTGAAGTCATTGTGGCCTAAAGTATAAGAAAACTGTTTTTTGTTTTTATCAGCGAACATGTTTTTAAGCATAAATTGTAATTACATATCCAAATTAAAAATAAACAAAAATTGAATTTTTGTGTGTTGTTGCAACGATGCGTGGCCGGATTACACTAAGTTTAAACATAAATATCCATGTCTAGAACATTTATTACTAAACACAAAGATGTATTATCTCATCTCGGCGACTGACCCCAAAAAGAAAAAGCAGACTTTATTGTTTCCGAGCATCAGCAAAAATAGTTTTGAGCATTGCTCCACTGTATATCAAAGACTATGTACGTAATGGGAAGCTAATGTTAAATTTTGTTGAGTTTCAGTTTGAAACTTTACCAGTATTTTTCATGAGCGGTAGGGTTGTATAGTAAGCCTGCACGAGCAGATACCCTGCTGCGAAGCAGGCACGTGGACTGATTGAAGGGTCACCTCACCTCTCAAGGCAGGCCTTTAGTTAGTGACATACATGAGATGGTCCTCGGTAACCACTTAGACTGGGTGGGGCCATGAGGGAGTAAGTTCCATCTATGTATTAATACGTGAAACAGAAACTTTGTACCCCTTTTTACGAAAATTGCGCGGACGAAGGAGCATAAAATTTTTCACACTTATAGAAAATATAGAGAAGGAGTGCAGAATACTTATATTTTTTTAAATTGTGCATAAAAAAATAATTAAATCAATAAAGAAAACATTACATACACTCCCATGTATTTGAAAATAAACTCTTTGTTTATTGTCAAGCTTTTGTTATGGTTGAAAGTCTGTGGTCAAATTGAGAATAGATTAATATGGTTTGTCTTTAATATTATTTGTATATAGTGTAGTTTTGGCGAAATCTGTGATTATAGAAGTATAATAGCTTATGACACTAGGACCATAATAATGTCCAAACTTAAAATCTCAATTAATTATAGTCGAATTTCGACTACAGAGGTACCACTAGTATCAATAAATAGGTAAATTACAGTATTAAAATTAAGTTATTAAATTTGACTTTGTAATTGATGCAGGCGATCTATCGCGGAGGCGAGCGAGACCGGGAGAGGCCGTACTCGTCGGGAGGCGGAGCGCCGCCGCCTACGGAGCCGGCCACCCGCACTGTCACCATGAGCAGGGACCCCGCCGACTCGCACGGATTTGGCATATGCGTTAAAGGCGGAAAAGAAGCCGGTCAGTAATGTAGGATTGGTAAGAACGGAACGTATGAAAAGATCATGGAACGGAGCGTTAAGGTGTGAGTGAGAGAAAACGGAAAAAAGGGAGAAGAGAATGACAGACAGAATGACAGAGAAAAGGAAGATGGCGAAGACATAATAAAAGTGTTAATTAATTTTAAATTATTATTATAACAGAAGATTTTGGAACAGTGGAAGTTTTATTTTATGCGCTGCGATCCCTATTCTACAGTAATACCCTCTTGTCGTGGCCGCTGGAAACTACATACCCGATCCTGTGGACTGAATTAATCCTCAGACAAAGCCCACTGAATTTTCACCGGATCTTCTCAGTGGGTCGCTTTTCCGATCCGGTGGTAGATTCTGCGATTCTCTTGCTAGGGCTAGTGTTAGCAACGTCTTCAGGCTCCATGAGCTCTATGTATGAGCTCTCATCTACTAGTTCGTTGAATCTAGTATGATTCTACGAGGACACTAGAATAGGTAGATAAAAGAAAAGAGTCAGTAATTTTGATTAAGACTAAACTTTGTTCAACGAAAAAGTTAGTTATAGAACCTGCGAACTCTAAGAGTAATACTATGGTTAGTTTAATATTATATATAATTTTCGTACATAGTCATTTGAATTTTTCATTTCTTTTCAATACAAGAAGTAATTTAGATAAAAATATTATTATTATTGTATGTAACTATGTTCGTATGTCCTGCGTTCATGCGTTGTTTTACCGTACGGGTTGAAGCTTTTGTTTGAAGCTGCACTTGTTCTAGTCATTATGTGGATCGTAATGTTCTTCTCCTCCTCCTCCGTGCGTCGTGTTCCTCAGTGCTGAGGATCGTGACCTTTACGGAATACATACGTAAAGGTTTTCTTGGGAAAATTGCTAGTGGTGGGTTCAGAGGCAATTTAGTCCTCTGGGCTACTGAAGTTCGGGTTACTTGACCGCCACCCGTTGCTCTGCGTTATATTTTTACGGTCGGGTAGGTGGCATACCGACGCCGACCCACCTTTTTTCTCATCCGGGCTTGGACCGGCAATGGCAGAGTTGTAATACGTACGCCTTCGATGGTACGCGATTTGAGTCGACGTATCGACAATAACGTGGCAACGTCGTCGGAATCCATTAATAAGTCATGTAATTAACGAAAATACGCTGCACAGTTTCCTAAGTACCCATAGTGCTTTTATTACATAAAAAAGTGTGAACTCATCAAAATTTTATTACCACAAGTATTCTGTGTAGGTGTAAGCGTTTACATATCGCGGGTAGAGGAGGGTTCAGTGGCGGAACGAGCTGGCCTGCGTCCCGGGGACTCTATCCTGCAGGTCAATGGCACGCCGTTCTCCGGAATTTCGCACGAAGATGCACTCAAGGTATATTTTAATTCATTTTATTACAGTTATTATTTTATTATAGACTAACTGAACCGGCAGACTTCGTAGTGCCTCAATCGATAAATAAAAGACCTAAACTTTTGTATAAAATAAACTTAAAACAAACAAAAGGTATCCGTCCGCGCGACGGGGGCACATCAAAGGAAAAACAAAATTGTTATTTTTATTTAATTCCGAGCATTTTCATATTTATCTACCTTCTAAGCCTTCTTTGAACTTCCACAAATAATTCAAGACCAAAATTTGCAAAATCGGTCCAGCCGGTCTCCAGTTTTTGCGAGACTAACGAACAGCTATTCATTTTTATTTAAATAGATTTCGGTTGGATTGCTGAAAGAGTAAAGTATATTAAGAGGCCAAACTCATACAAAATCGTAAATAATAAGACGGAGAAATAAAATATTGGCTTGACTTATTTTCACATTAGTGTTTCACAGTTCATGGTGGGTAATGACCATTAGTGAAAATTGTTGACTTGTTTAGATTTGAATTGGTGAGGTAATAGGTATATGTCGAACACGCCATGCCCAGACTTGTTGCCGCTGGCAGCCATTTCTGATCGTTAGCCAAATTGCTGAGACTGGCCGGTTTAACAACAAACTCTAACTCCTTACGTCAGCGGAATAGTTTTTAATGGTCTGCCGATAGCTTTGTGCCAAATATTTTATTATTACATGAACGCGCATTCGTAGACACTGACAGAAATGTTTCTAGCAACATTAATCTATATCCGGTGCTTAATTTATCGCTTAGGCATATTTGTGGGATTTTAAATCTCTATAAATGTTGTCAATATTTTTAATAAATTTTGATGTTACATTAACCATAGGTATTTACTTATAAAGTTGCCGATGTACAATACTTAATTATTTTACTATACTTATTTCTATCGTGTTCATATTGATGAAAAAGACGCAAATGTAGTGAAAATAAAACACTAATCTAACTCACACTAAAAATAAAATGACTGAATTGGAAAATAGAATTCCATATTTTAACAATTAAATTAATTTGTATTTAGAATTTATTGCCAGCTATATATAAATTACGTTTCAAATGGCCAGTATGATAAAACTGCAACTTCATGGAGAAAAAACTTTATAACATCGATATACACAACTTGATATGACAACAAATACGATTCGATTGAATTTTTTTGACGAAATTATTCATATATCTCGTTCTTTATTTTGATTTTTCAATGTTTTTTTGTTTGAAATATAATGAATAGAGGGAAAATAAATTGCTGTGCATTTTCGTCTTAGAGTATACGTAAGATTTTCGTATATATTTGTGTTGAAATTGGAAAAGTCAAACAAAACTCAAAACCAATGACCGGTTATCCAAGAAATTTTGCTTGTAGTTATCATTTTCGATTTGACCTACAGTGCGATACCTCCGTATAACAATAATTAAAATTTTCCATATAAAGGTAGACACAAACTGTCAAAAAGATTTAATAAAATAATTTGATGATACAGCAATAATGGCGTGTCTAGCGCCGATATTATCATCGGCGCGTATAAAAATTGTTTATATTCGTACGTAATCGCAGGATTCGAGCTCATGTAATTTCCTGCTAGCACGTACATATAACCATGGCGCTATTTTAATTAGGGATGGGGATAAAAGGATCAAGAAGCCTGAGGCAACAGGGCGAATAGTTCTATTTTCTCATTGTTATTGTTAGTTTCATATGTTTGGAGCAAGTTCTTGGTTCTTATTGTTCCATGAATACAAAAAGAAAGTTCGTTCCTTGGGTTGTTTATGTTTTGTTATGTTTGCTTGGGGATATTGATTTCAACCATTTTAAACAACATTAAGCATCCTAGGCCATGACGCAAATCTCACACACACCCACTCAATCATCATAAAATTGCGGAACACAGTAACCAATCCAATTTATTTCTATCGTTCCATTTGAATAGAAAAACAGCGCTGACTTCATTAATACTTTATGTAGCTTATATCTATTTATCTGCGCAACAGAATATTTTAATGTATTTTCAAGATGTCCGACTAACTTGAAAATTTGTACACATATAATAATATGGTGTATTTCAGAATGAATAAAAGACTTAATTATGTCTTCAGTGATATAATAAGAAAATAATATTTAAAACCGTTAATTTGTTTTAAAATTAATATTCAAAATTTAACAGTAAGCAGTATTAATAAATTATACAAAACTGAACTCTCTTTTTACTGAAATGACAGACGTCACTCCATGTCACTGAATGACATTGAAGAAAAATCGTTTTTGAAAACTAAAGTTTTTTAAATAATTAAGGTTTTTCTTTACGCACATATTAAAGACAAAACAATAGTTTTATCATTTCAACTTGATATTGTGACCATAATCACCGGAATGAAACTAAATGAGAATTTAAATAATACGAAAATACGTCATTCATTATTTGTTATCTATACATTGCTGCCATTTAATAAGAAGCTCATTTATGCTTTTGCGATAGAACTTTGGTGATCTAGAGTCTATACACCGTATGAAAGCATTCTGTACTGGCTCCTGGGAAGTAAACTTTTTATCACGTAGAAAATTGTCCAATTCATGAAAAAAATGGTAGTCCGTTGGAGCAAGGTCTGGCGAATACGGAGGGTGACGAATAGTTTTTAATTGCAGTTCCTGTAGAGTAAAAACGGTTTCTAGTGCTGTATCAGGTCTCGCGTTATTATGGAGCAACAATGGTGAAGATCGATTCATGAGCCGGGGCTGTTTCACAGCAAGTTTGCTATCATTGTTCGGAGTTCGGCGCAGTAGACATCTGCTGTTATTGCTTGACCAGATCTGAGAAAGCTATAATGAATAACACCATGCTCAGACCACCAAACAGTTATCATTACCTTTTTTTGGTAGTCTGGTAAGCTTTGCTTTAGGACACTGTTGCGGCGTTTGACCAGGGGTCAGCCATTGCAATTTGCGCTAACGGTTATCGTAAAGAATCCCCTTTTCATCACGTGTCACAATTCGATCCAATATTCCTTCATTTCGGTATCGATTCAATAAGGCAACACAAGTTTCAACACACGTTTCTTTCTGCAAATCAGTCAAATCATGAGGTACCCATTTTTCATATTTTTTTATTTTATCGATTTGACGCAAATGAGTCGATATTGTTGGTAAGGTAACGAACGTTAAACCATGCCTCTAATTCCTGGGTAGTTTGGCTCGGATCGGCTTCAACCATCTCTTTCAATGTCATCTTCCACGTGATTCGTTCTTCAAATCAAAATTTCCATTACGAAAGCGCCAAAATCGCACGATGCGTTTATTAGCAATCACCTTTCCAAACTCAACATTGATATTGCGAGCTGTTTCTGCAGCATTAGTTCCGGGTCGGATCTCGTATTAAAAAATTACTCGATATTTTGAAGGATCCATCTTTCTTGTATAAGCTGAATAAAAAAACAATTGAAAGTCGATAATCGAATGTGGCACATTTTTTAAAAGAAGAACATCATGGGTACCATTTGAAAAAAGTTTCACTCAAAAATCTCAAGCCATGGAGGTTCAATGCCAATTCGAAATACCTATTACAATAAAACGGCTTTTTCATACTTTAACCCCTATTATAAACATCAATATAACTTCATCATGCAACAATAAGAAGAATAAGCTCATATTTAGAACTATATTTATAATATATATATATATATATATATATATATATATATTAATAACTATATTATAACTATAGCTTTAGATTTTTCAATACTTTTACCAATCAAACCATCTTAGACGGATATTGCGAAGGGCGAGCTATCAGTATATTTTATGTGTTCGAATTTCACCAGGCTAAATTCTCAGAAGGTCGCCGCCCTATTTCTGGATATCCGGTATAGCGAATTTTCATATTTTCATCGAACGCGTTTGTTCATTCAGTGTGTTATTTAGCCGGAATGTTCGACATAAAACAGGCATTGCGGAAGTATGGAACTTTAATATGGCACTTGAACACGTGAGGAAAATCTATTTTTGTAGTAAGTAGTTACATAAGAATAGGTAAAGGTAATTTACTGGTGTTGGGGTATATTATAGACCTGCACGACTAGATAGCACTTTCCTGCTATTTCAAGAATTCAATTCAGTCTTCGACCTCATATTATCTCAAAATTGTGAGATCCACGCTGAGATGTCTATGGGCTACGGTAGCTCCTTAATATCATTCATTGATGTGAGCAATAAATTATAAAAAGTTACACATTTTTCGATTGCACGGCATGTCGCAGTATTAATCTATACTAATATGTAAATCTACAGTGGTTTTTACGGACGTTCCGTTATACTATGGAACCATACATCCGATTAACTTGAAACTTGGCATCCATGTAGAAAATACATGTACTTAATGGATAGGCTAATATTTACATGAGTGTTGGACTCCCTAATAATAATGACAAGCAGCGAAGCGGGCGAGTACAGCTAGTATACTTATATTTTTGACAGAAAATAGCAGTAGCAATGCTCTTTACATATTAAAACGAATGTTTTTCATTTGTCGAATTATGTTCACGAATAATATTAGATTCTCCCTTACTCTTACCCGTGAGTCAATAGCAAAGTTTTTCTCCAGATTTCAAAATCATCCATTACTTTTGATTTTCGCTTTTGTAGGTTAATGTATCAGTGTTCTCGATAACTGCTAAGTTATTAAATTGTCGTTAGATAAAGTAGGTACAATTTGAGGTTTATTTTGACAGAGTATCAAGACAAGAAGTCAATACAAGTAGATTGCAGCGACACTTTCTCTGAAGAAAAAAGTTATTAAAATACATATAATAAAAATATATATAATTAAATATTATTTTATGATTCAAGAAACAGTGAAATTTTTAGGTTTTTTTAAATTTCAGTGTTTTCATTTGATTGTGTATTTTAAAAGTAAAATACAGGTACGAACTATGTACTAGCCATTTTTCGGGGCTTGACCATTTTGTTCTTCCGGCGCAGGTATCCGGCGATATCGCTTGATTTACGAGGCTTCTTCCTGACATTTACTCGAACTTTTAGTCAGCATTTTTTCTAGACATTCTTGTAATACAAAAAAACTAAATGTTAAGGTTGTCATATTGCTATATTACTGTGTTTCAGAATGTATTTATAAATATATTTACAATGAAAAGATGATTATATAGCTTTCATGAAGTCTAGTATAAGCTTGAATAGTGATAGTTTCAAGTCGAAAATCTTGAAAAAAGAATTTGGCAAAAATATCAGAATAGAAGCTACGACAAAACGTAAGACTCGTTTTGTAAGAAAATAAAACTTGCCAGTATAAGGATAGGGTCGCCAAAATAAACCGTTTGATATATGTATAATACATGGTACTATATATTATTTTGCGATATAGGGGTTAGAGTTTTAGCGAAAAGAATTTCTTACAAGACGAACTTGACGTAATCAGAACGCCCGATCTTTCTTTTCCACCTATCATATATTATCTTGGTGTATGTAAACATGAATCTGTATGTAATCTTAAAACTTGACGAAACCTTGAGAAGGCAAAAAAATTACTACATACAGTATTATGGTAGCGTGTTTGTTGTAATAAATTTAGAAGAATGAAAGACAAACAAAATCTTATTACGCTATACAAAGACAGAACAATACAATACAGAACCCGCCGACCCATTTAGCTTTATTCGCCGACGACACGACTGTTTACTATTCTAGTAGAAATAAGTCTCTAATCGCGAAGAAGCTTCAGAGCGCAGCCCTAGCCCTAGGACAGTGGTTCCGAAAATGGCGCATAGACATCAACCCAGCGAAAAGTACTGCGGTGCTATTTCAGAGGGGAAGCTCCACACGGATTTCCTCCCGGATTAGGAGGAGGAATCTCACACCCCCGATTACTCTCTTTAGACAACCCATACCCTGGGCCAGGAAGGTCAAGTACCTGGGCGTTACCCTGGATGCATCGATGACATTCCGCCCGCATATAAAATCAGTCCGTGACCGTGCCGCGTTTATTCTCGGTAGACTCTACCCCATGATCTGTAAGCGGAGTAAAATGTCCCTTCGGAACAAGGTGACACTTTACAAAACTTGCATAAGGCCCGTCATGACTTACGCGAGTGTGGTGTTCGCTCACGCGGCCCGCACACACATAGACACCCTCCAATCCCTACAATCCCGCTTTTGCAGGTTAGCTGTCGGGGCTCCGTGGTTCGTGAGGAACGTTGACCTACACGACGACCTGGGCCTCGAATCAATTCGGAAATACATGAAGTCAGCGTCGGAACGATACTTCGATAAGGCTATGCGTCATGATAATCGCCTTATCGTTGCCGCCGCTGACTACTCCCCGAATCCTGATCATGCAGGAGCCAGTCACCGTCGACGCCCTAGACACGTCCTTACGGATCCATCAGATCCAATAACCTTTGCATTAGATGCCTTCAGCTCTAATACTAGGGGCAGGCTTAGGGACCCCGGTAACCGTACTCGTCGAACTCGACAAAGAGGTCGACGTGCAACCTAACCCATGCATCAGCCCGCTGAGTTTCTCGCCGGATCTTCTCAGCGGGTCGTGATTCCGATCCGGTAGTAGATTCATTCGCGAAACAATTGCTCTTGAGTTGTTAGGTCTCCTTCGGAGGCGCTCGGGCAGTTGTTAGCAAATCCCACCCCTCTTGGCTGAGCCTTTGCTCGCCCACCTGTCCTGGTGAAACTGGAAAGGCCTTCGGGCCACCAGTAAAAAAAACAAAAAAAAACAATACAGAACGCTTGACGACGCTTGTAGCTGAAAGTAAGTATTGTACTTTTTGACGAAGCATGTTGCTGATAACTCTATTTCTGTAATCTGACGAAGCATGTTGCGGATAATAACATGTACTTTTAGGTTACGAATATTATGTTCTTTTTTTTATAATAAATAAAGTCTTAAATACAGAACCATATCAAAAAAAAATATTTGCTGGTAGGATATGTTGTAAGTCCACACAGCTACACATGTACCACATTTTACCGGTTTCCGTCGCATAATCATGCATTTCACTAACTATGATGCTATTATTGAATTATAATTGGAAATTCAGCTCTATGTTCAAGAAGGGTGGCGGACCTTAAGGAGTTTGTGGACTTCCGGTTTAAAACCTACGTCCGTAACAATGACAGTGATGCATTGAAATGGAATTGTGTTATTTTCCTTTTATGGTAATTAAAGAGAAGACTCAATAACAAGAAACAGAACGATTTGTATTTTTGAGTATTTTTGTAAATTTAGGTAGTTTTGTTACTTCTGTAGATTACATTCTACTTCTACTTCCGTAGATACACTTAATATTTGTGAGTTACTTAATTACACTTGGAACATCACTTCGGTTAAAGAGTCAACCATAGATTATCCGTTGCCCATAGCATAACAATTCAATACATAACATGGATAACCATGAAGCCATGTATAGCGAACCGCGTTCTACATATTTGGTGTTAATAAAATGTTAATGATTTAAAATTTAAATCCTTTTCCCTAAAAGTGTTAATTGGATGATTATTTAATCGTAGTTAAAGTATGACTAGACGATGATCGTTTTTTTTTTGATAAATTGTGTTTTTTAGAATTTATATTTATATTCCAATTCCTATAATATTTCAAGATCGTTTAGGCATTTTTAAGTGAACACGGGAGTTAAAAAGACACAAATAATATAAATAAACAATTCATTTTCTTGGTCTAACCTTAAACCAAACACTCATTAGCTTCGGGTGGCTTAACAACGCCATCTGCTGAAATAGCTTTAGTGTTATTGTGTCTTTAAAGCAGTTAGTTGCTCTCAATTATGAAAAATAGTATTATTATTCGCCAATAGATGTCGGGAAGGGTCATAAAGTTGATTATCGATAAAGTTGATTATTGAAAACACGAATAAAACAACATTTTCTGAAAATAAATCGTAGCTAGATCGATTTATCGCCCCCGAAATCCATTGTATACTAAATTTTGTAAAAATTGATGGAGCTGTTTCCAGGATTCAGATTATATATATATATGTACATATAGGTATAATCTATAACATATATAGGTATAAGATATTTTTAGATAATGTTGTTTTATTAGTATTAGTATCTGGTGACCGGCTCGGCAATGGAAAATCGTAGCTGCTTTAAATACATGCAACTTGATATACCAAATTTTCATAAACGATATGTTCTTCATATGTCATACCAAATTTGTTGCTCTTATACTAAGTTTTATTTAAGATAAAAGAAATTTACGTATAACATAAAAGGAGATGAATTATTCGCGTTTCTAAAATGTTTACGAAAAATACGGTATTCTTATTGTGTCCCTGAGGAAATCGCACCGGTTTCATCCTGGAAAAGCAATGGATAGTCGGTGTCGTGAGATATCCGTGCAATATTTGTAGAAAACTGGAGGCGTACGGTACCTATACAAAACGTGATGATATTCTTAAAAAGTACTTGGAAAAGTTTCCATTACGAAAATAAACCACCCTTTACGGGGTCGTTTGAACTTTGTTATTTGAAGCACATTAAGCTTAAGTTTAAGTCATAATGAAAGTTTGACAACGGGTTGGAAATTAAATTTTCGAAGACTGATTGAACAATTTATGTATTCGGATTAAATTCCTTCGAGTGATTTGTCGGCCTTCGACGCGCTGTGATTGATGAACATTGTATCGATCATCCCGTTCTGATGTTTGTTATTCAGAGCATTAGCTCTGTTTGCAATTTATCAAGTCTATATTTGGACGAGATTTGTTTCTACAAACGAAAATGTGTGATGATTTATGATGATAAATTTTATTCGTAATTGTATTTTTCTAGGCAGATGAACTTATTTAGCTTTATTGCTAAATAAGTAAAGTAGTTTTTTTAATTATGCGCGTATTGTTAAACAGATGCTTAAGTCGTGTCGTCAGTTGACGATGACGGTGCGAACGGCGGGTGCTCTGGTTGGGCGGGCCTCCTGCTCCTGGATGGACCGGTACGGACGACCTGCCTCTCCGCCTCCACTCCGACCCCCGCGATCTGCGAGTAAAGACCGTTCAGTGAGAAGGGTAAGACAATATTAATGAACTCCAACTTAGTAGTCAAAAAATAAACATTATAGTATATAAACATAAGGACTAGACCTGCACTGAAAACATCTAAGCGGATCCACGAGTTACGATAACCACTTACCATCACGTTAACAGTGTGCTCGATTAAGTATAACGATTATAAAAAAAGGGTGCGTGTACTTATGTACGCGCGTAAGAAGTTATACTTTATTTTTATTAAATTTATTTCTCTTTTTTTTATTTAAATTTTAATCAATTTGAAAAAAAATCGATTAAACAACATCCTCAAACACGCATATTGGACATCCCTTTTCTTGACATCGTATAAATTCGGTAATTCTCGGTACGGTTCGGAAAGTTCACCTGCGGCTATATTCAGACTCGCCAAGTTACGTCGGTCGTATTGTAATGAGCGATTTAGTGGGCAACTNTAAATTTTAATCAATTTGAAAAAAAATCGATTAAACAACATCCTCAAACACGCATATTGGACATCCCTTTTCTTGACATCGTATAAATTCGGTAATTCTCGGTACGGTTCGGAAAGTTCACCTGCGGCTATATTCAGACTCGCCAAGTTACGTCGGTCGTATTGTAATGAGCGATTTAGTGGGCAACTTCATTCTGTTAATTTTGTATCACGGTGCGTGCGCATCGTAAAATTCCACTCCCATCAATTTTTCATAACGCGCCTAAAAAAGTATAACTTCAAAAAATATACATACAAATGTATATATTCCATAAACGATAGGAATTTTTACATAATAATGCCTATCAGATTCAATAGTAGTATTACACTACCGTTCTCACTTCCTACTTCCTTTAATGGTGGTAGAGCATCTTGTGAGTCCGCACAGATAGGTACTACCACCCTGCCTATTTCTACCGTAAAGCAGCAATGCGTTTCGGTTTGAAGGGCAGGGCAGTCGTTACTGTAAAAACTGATACTTAGAACTCAGGTCTCAAGGTGGGTGACGGCATTTACGCTGTAGATGTCTATGGCCTCCGGTAACCACTTAACACGTGGGTCGTGAGCTCGTCCACCCAACGAAGCAATAACAAAATATAAAAAAAATACAACAGAATAAATGCATGTATTTTTGTGTCAAAGGGCAAATAAAACTATATTCATATGTCATTATTTTATTATTAATCCTAGGATATAAGCCTAAAAGGCTCTAATATCTTGTACGCCGAAATATTTATATGCGGATATGAAATTCGTCACTCACCATGAACGTGTTGAGATGAATGTGAGATGCGTTAGATGAATGTGGTCATCGACGATAATGTGAGCTACTATTCAAATGTCGTTAGTGGCTTTTATGATACTTATTTTTTGTGTTGATAGGAAATCGCCAGTCGTCATTTTCCTTCATATAGATTGAACTAAAATCATGACTGTTACACAACCATATTTTTTATGAATGAAGATAAGCCTGCACGAATAGGTATCGCCACCCTACCTATTCCTGCCCACGCATCAGTAATGGGTTCCGGTATGAAGGGTTGTTGTAGAACTGAGAATGAGAGCTCATGTCTCGAGATGAGTGGCGGCATTTGATGTCTATGGGTCCTGGTAGCTACTTAGCATCAGGTAGCATTAGGTAGCATCAAAGGTAGTCTACAAACTCTCAGCTACAAGAACGCAGCATACTCTATTTCAACACATTGTTCGATTGAAGTTTCAGTTGGATTGTAAAAAGGCTATTCCGTTCGTCAGACAGAACAATTGAGGCAATTATATGTATAAAGTAATGAGGCAAGACGAGGAAATGCTTAAGTAAGAGATAAAAAAAAAACAATATGATGTTCAATATTTATATTTTCACTTCAGTTAATAGTCAACAATTTAATGATTATTCAGAGCTAATGAATGTAATTACAAGTTTTTCATTTAGCAATGATACATTATACCATCCTACTAATTTCTGCCACGAAGCAGTTAAGGTTTGAAGGCCGTGGCAACTGTGACAGAATACAATGGAGCGTTCAACCTTATGTGCTGTGTGATGACATTATCATTTTGATTTATAGAGAGTCCTTAACCACTTAAAAATAAATGTTTCGAGAGCAAACGATACATTAAAAAATTATCGGTTAAAAACAAAAATTTGAAATCTCGGGTAATTGTAATATTAAAAAATAAATGCAAATTTAATCTCTCAAAGTAATTCAGACACACATAAGCTGTATCTTTGGTTTTACTGACACATCGCCTTTTTTAAGCTAATAAACTTAGTACAATACGTATGTATATAAATGTGCACCTAATTGTTTTCTAGAAAATTTTCTAAATTTTTTTCTTTACTTGAACGCTGAAATCTTCGTTATCTTTTTAGGTGGATTTATGTATAGAGCCAGGGCAATCGTTGGGACTAATGATCCGAGGCGGACTGGAGTACAATCTCGGCATCTACATTACTGGAGTTGACAAGGATTCAGTTGCAGACAGAGCTGGTCTCATGGTATTTTATTTCGACGAGTTATTCAAACTAAATTAAACTTTAATGACACTTTCAAATATCTGGCATAAATGATTTAATCACACACACAGAAGTGGCTACGTTATCAAAATCCGAATATATTTTATTTTTGTGGCGTAAATTAGTAGTCGTCTATTACTATCGACCCAAGTCTGACAATATACGTGATTTATAATTTTGACAACAACACCACAATTAAGCTAGCACTCTCATCATGTTAGCTGTATCCTCGTCTGAATTCTAAGGAAATAAAAAACAATGGTCGAAAAATTGTCTCGTAATTGTGTTATTAAAATTATGAGAACAAAGGTGTACAGCTATTACGGATCCAACATATGACATTAACAATGCAACAATAACAATAAAAAATTTAAGTCAAACAAATGTCTGTTTCGTTGATAGATACCGTCAGTAAAATACGGCATATATCATTTAATGGTACATAAATTGAAGGTCCAAATAACTCTGACGAAATTTTTTCATCCTGTCTTTACGATCAATTACTTTTATATTTCCTACGTGCGTCGTATTTTTTGTTTACTACAATATCGAACGTAAGGTTTCTTGAGGACGTAGTTATTTAGTTAAAATATAATTTGTCTTTGTGAGATATGTCGAAACATACAATTTGTAAATTCGCACATGTGCAAACTAGCACAATAAATAATGTTCAGCACTTGTATCGAAAGGTCCTAAGGTGCAAAATAATTAGTACAAAGATGCTCATATATTTTGATAAAATTAGGAAATATTATAATAATTACTAAAAACACTGTTCTTTAAGTATATACTTATTAAGTATTTACCTATTTATTAACGAAAAACTCAGGCTATACGAATTTTGATTAAGTTCAAAGTTTCGGAATACATTCAACTACAATTTATAACTCATTTAAAAATTATTGCAGAAAGCGAATTACGGGTGCAGCGGAACTTGGTAGTAAAGTGGCACTTGCTTGTTTGAACTGGCTCCCAATTGAGTACTCACTTATTTCTGCCCCATAAGCACCGTAAATTGCTCGTTTATTTTCTGTGAAACTTTAGCTGGCCGACTACGACATTTCGTACATAATACTATAATTAAATTCATTTATTAAAAATGGAAGTGCCATCAATTTTATTTTATCAATTTAACTTTATCATTTTCTTTAGAGTTAATTAAGTTTATAAGTTTCGACTAAATTCGATCCTAATGGAAATTTATATTTCTCATACTATAAAATAAACAAGAATACTTAGTGCAAGAGCTTTTCAATAGAGATGTGGATAATAAAATTAAAATGTTCACCAAGCTCATTCCACTTTAATGCACATTTGTTTGAAACTTACACTAGTACTTACAGTACAAACCCCATAGACACCACCCACTGAGTTTTATGCCGGATTTTCTCGGTGGATCGCGATTCCGATCCGGTGACAGATTCTGCGAAGGACTGCTCTTGCTAGGATCAGTGTTTACAAACTCTCTCAGGTTGAGCCCCTTGAACGCACCTAGCAGTACAGCGTAGCTGGATTAACCCCTTAGGCTACTAGGGAATATGTAGGAAAAATAAACAGTACAAACTGCAAAATTATTCAGGAAAAGCATTTATTAGAGGAACAACACTTTTACATTAAAATTAAAACTCTTTGTAACGTTTTTCAATCAAGCCAAAGAGTACCTAAATTTCGTACGTTAAAATCATGAAAGATATGTTTACTTAACTAAAAAAAAATCTTTACACACCTTTACACACTTGGAATTTGTTTTTCACAAAAGCGTTCTAATTAAATTTGAAAGGTAGAAGCATAAAAACTGTGTTGTGAATAATTTAGGTAGGTATTAATAAAAAAAAAATTTTAGACTAACATTTTTTTATTTGGGTTGTACTTCTGCGTCAGGTCGGCGATCAGATATTAGAAGTTAACGGGCAATCGTTCGTGGATGTGACCCACGATGAGGCGGTGGCCCAGCTCAAGTATCACAAGCGCATGTCTCTGCTTGTGCGAGATGTCGGGAAAGTTCCGCACGCGTGTACGGCATACGGGGAACGAGATCCAAATCCCAGGTGAAATGGAATGAAAACTCATAAAAAATTCATTGTTCTACAAAACTGTTGTTTTTACTGGTGGTAGGACCTCTTGAGAGTTCGCGCGGGTAGGTACCACCATCCTGCCTATTTCTGCCGTGAAGCAGTAATGCGTTTCGGTTTGAAGGGTGGGGCAGCCGTTGTAACTATACCTGAGACCTTAGAACTTATATCTCAAGGTGGGTGGCACATTTACGTTGTAGACATCTATAGGCTCCAGTAACCACCTAACACCAGGTGGGCTGTGAGCTCGTTCACCAATCCAAGCAATAAAAAAAATAAAAAAAGAACTCGGTTTTAGCAATTATTGGAGCTGTCATAATTGTTCGTAGTTAATTTGTATCACGAGATTATTTGTCGTGAATTCATAGGATAAGCGGTTGGGGCAAAAGAAGAGGGGCAGCTTCCGTGGCTGTGGAACAAAAGGCCCGGTCTCTCATACCGCAGAGCGATCTGCCTGCACTCGCGTACTATATGGAAGAATATGCTGCAAGAAGACTCAACCCCGACTCATTCCTTACAGTACTAAGAGATCTCTTAGATACGCCGCAGAAGGTAAATTACAATGCAAGGGTATTTTATTATGTCATTAAATTTATAATTATTATTACATTTTACATTACATTCTTATTAAATAAATAAAAACCTTATCTATGTGTGATTGAGACGTGGAAAAAAGGCAGTGGCTTGGATCTGTCCTGGTTATACTGTTATCCATGAGGTACTTACCAAACTTAGCGAAAATTGATAATTGAATATTTGACATAAATCGCTAATTTATAAATCAATTCACTTAATACTGCTGCAAATAAAATGAATTACTGTTGTGTTAATTATCTCAACCACAGCTCTCTTAATGTAATGAAATATTTATTAAATAGACGGAAGGAGCAAGAAAAAAAACATGGTAAAAATATCCTTCGTGTTACAAAGTAAATATAACTTTGTTGCAGTATACTTTACTTACCGAGATCCGCGAGTTTATGGTGCCGGAAGACAGACCTCGCTTCGATGAGCTTGTTTATAGAAAAGGCGACGAATCTGGCGACTACCATCTGAAGGTGCATTACTTAAACTAATAGAGGATTTGTCGTATTAGATTTGAAAATACACTTATGAACCTAAATTAATTAACAAACGCATATGATTTTAATTATCACTTTAACCATCACTGTATCATTAGATTTGAAAAGTTTTGAGAAATATGATAAAATTGTAAAACGCATGCCGGAACATTTTATTCAACTCTCTCTCTCTCTCTCCGATCGGTCCCTCACTGCTGAGGATCGTGAACTCCGTCCGATTCCGTCAACTAGCTGTCTCCATCGATCCCGTTTTGTAGCTTGGTGGAGTGCGTAGCTGACAGATCCTCCTATTTGCTATTTGGTCCGACCATCGTTTGGAACCTCTACCCCTAGGCCTTTTTCCCTCTATTTTACCGGTCACCACAAGGCGTTCCAAATTGCTGGTATCCCTGCGTGCAACATGACCAAAATATTCTTTGTATGCAGGTTGTGGACAAACGTTGAGCCTTTTCTATTTTTATTCATTATTATTAATTCAACTCTACTACTCGAGCATTGTCATTTGCTATTACATTTATATGAGATTATTTTTTTAAGAACTTAAAAGTAAAATTCGAACTAATTAGGTCTGATTAAATATACGTTTAATTTCAATTTTCTTTTAAGAGGTTTACGCTTATATAAATAAAACGTTTGAACTAAACATTTCGGAACAATGTGTAATGAAACATTTACGATGTTTGTTGCGGGTGACAGAGTAATGTCGTAATCCTGGCTACCACAATTTTTTTTTTTTTTTTTTTNCCTTTCGGGCCAGCCGCCTCGCAGTCGCTGACGAGCGCAGAGCGCGTCGAGCCAGCGCTGGCACATCTCGGTTCGACGGGTTTTCCGCTGCCCGTCGCACAGCCCCCTTCATCGTGGCATGCTTTGCCCCCCCCAGAATACGTGGGGCAGCATGCTCCCACCGAGGTGGAAGCACGGAGGGATTCTCCACCTAGAGTGGTACCCTCCTGTGGCTACCACAATTAGGGTATTTTTGTTCATTATATATATTTTTTTTAATTGAATTTTTTGACTTGTTTTTTTCTTTTATTGTAAATATTTTTATTTATTTAAAAAAAAGAAAATATTTGAGAAAAAACAAAAAAAAAGAAAGCCCGCTGAGTTTGTTTCGCCGGTTCTTCTCGGGACTGTGGCTTTTTTTGGAACCGGTGGTAGAGTTAACATTGTTATTTGTATTTTGACATTCAACAAGTGTGTCATACTGACATCTAAGTTGAAATAAATGATTTTGAATTTGAATTTGAATTGGATTTCCTGTAGTTTCATCTATCATTTTAAAGTGTTGGTCAGTTGCTACAGCCCTTCTGACAGACTAATAGATCAAGGTGGTTATCGTTACATTATGTTTCGGTAGCTACTTACCATAGGGCGAATCGGAAACTCGTTTATTATATATTAATAAAGATGTCCATTGATTAAAATGTTAACTTTCGCCTACGGTATATTAAATTAAAATCGACATTTTTTGTTTTTCATTCTAAATATCACACATGTGTACGACATTATTTGTGTTCTCAAAGACGCCGCAGTCTGTTCAAGATAACGGCAGGCCTATTTCCGCATACTTATGTAAGAGGGTTGAAGTGAATCACTCGTGAGGAACGTCAAAAGCTTTCTTTTATCTCATTATGTCCATTGAGAATTTGAGATCAAAGAGTTGACGACATTTTGTTCGCTTGTAGGGCTTTCTTTCGTCTGAAGGAGGCTTATTCCTATATAGTGTCGTTAGTATGTTAGAAATACGTAGGCAGATTATATTAACAGTTTTGTGACTGTGCTTTACTGAATGAGGTATTCGATCAGAATGTAAAGGGAAACTTTATACAGTGCGAAATGATCGTTCCCGAAACCGAAAACGAATTGTACGAAATAATGTCCAGTGGTAAAGTAGTACCTAGTAGGTTAGTAGTAAAGTAGCATGCTAGTATTAAATACTTCACGTTTTTTATAATTTTATTATTTAATGTGGATAAAGCTGACGTTACACCTGACTGAATTCCCTGCGCCAATTGATTTTAGTCCAATGTTTCAACCGTGATTTTGGAACTTTAATAAAAAACCTAACTTCATCTCCGTTTTCGGGATCATTTTGTTTACATTCCCCCATTCATACAGTATGAACATCAATGGAAATCTTTATTTATTTTATTTAAATATAAATGAGCATTTTTTTCAAACAATAATACAATAGTCAAGTTGATGCTTCAGCAATTTCCCGCCATTTTATTGATATTAAGAAAAACTGAAATGCCCTAAAAGGCCACTGAATTATAAAAAAACAAGTGACTATTGAACGAAATTACTACAATGATTCATTTAGGCACCTCAAATGTCATGTCCATTGACATGACGACACTGACGGTTACTGTTGTTTCTAGCGTGGCAGCGAGCGTCACAACATGCTGCCATCATCGACGATGCACGAATTGCACGACCCGGTAAGGGCTCACACATATTAAACGTTCCTTCTCTATATACGGCATGTCTAGTTCTTGTCTATAGTTTGAGCGCTTTCAATAGTAGACATTATATCGCCTTTATGTTTTTAATTTGAGATCTGTTGTCGATGTTAAGAATTCAGTATTTCTTAAATGTATTAATGTTTATGATAGTGTCTGTGGTTGTTATTCGAAATTCATTCATTTCACATCCCCTATAGCGGACTTCATGGATGGTGTAATATAAAAGTTATTGATCTATAATAAACGTAACAAGATCGTTCACAATATTGATCAAATTTATAAGAATAAAAGCACCAGATAAGCGTCGAAGTTGTTGTTTGTAGGAAGTAGCGGTGGAGGCTCCTCTCGTGGCCGATCACCGTTCTCCATCCGAGGATTCCGGATTGGGCTTGCCGCCGCATGATAATTACAGGTGAATAATTCACCGCAATTCAGAAACTTGATTGAATAATATAACTTTAAATTCTTTAAGGTATTATACAATTACCGCATCTGTGACACAAAATAAAAAATAAAACATTTTAGCTCTCTAGGGACGAGTGTGAACGCGGTTCTCGTAATCAACGAGGCATACGTAAATCCCCTAACGGCGCCAAAGCCTTTATGAAGGCCCTTAAATCCTAAAGTGCCATTAAATCTTCAATGCAAAACCGAGTTCTTGTTGAGCGTCCTCTTTTGTCAGCTCTTTTACACTCCAAATAAGAATTACCTGCATCTTTCCACGACCCTCTCATTCGCCTCTATCACTAAGAGAACATCTCATTGGCGTGAAGCCAAACTTCACTTTTATACAGTATTAGAATCGATTGTTTTATAGCGATGTAAATGTTCACGTTTATTGTCACGGGCAGATTTATAGCCGCTGTCCTGTATCCGCAAGGGTTATTTAAAATTTATCACCAGTTAACTCGGAGAGTAATCTACGTCTAACCAGCAGTAACGATACCATTCAGTCATTAGGATCAATCAAATAATTTTTAGTATTAAATTTTTTTTTTCTCGCAAAAAGGAGCACTAATTTTGAAGTTTTATTTAATTATTCTTGTACAAAGATATTATCCCGTATTTGTGGTAATATCTTCGGTATTATCAGCTAAAACCTTTGTAGTGTGTACAATGTTTCTGGAACGGTTAATAGCGTTGTATACAAACAGTGAGCGTTGTATGTGTGTGGGCCAGGAGCGGGCGCACGTGGCGGGCGGCAGACGCACCTCAGGACGACGACTTGGAGCCACCACACGAGGTGATTTTGCCAGAATTACCTTCTACACATATCGAATTTATTGTCAACCACATTCATTTCTATATGCCTTCTATATAGCGGTGTCCAAGGTGTCACTCGCCAAACTCATCGCAGGCTCATTCACCCTTTCTATTAGCCGAAATAGTGTTGACCTGACGATTTTCAAGAGCTTATAATACATTTTCTCAGTTTCGCTTTGGTTTTTACATCTATCTATCATCACAGATAACATCGAACACATTATTACTTAAATTTTCAAACGAATTAAGTAGCTTTAGTCGGAGTGGCACCTCGGCATTTCCACTGTATTACTTTATATCTTCGCTACTTCTTGCATGATTTGAAAACGGCTAGCGAATAGAAATAACACCGCTCACGATTATGGCCGTTATTTCCAGTACAATATAACAATGGTTGGGTAAATCTGGCAAAATTATGTTTGAGTACATTTATAATTTCATTTCGTAAAGTGGTTTGCGGAGAATATTGATTGGCATTTGTGTTTCGAATTCGGTAATAGCGGCCAATTATATTGTATTCAACTCTTCTAGTATAGAATAGATTTGTTTAATATTTTCTTTCAAATGCGTGCAAATATTTTGATAAAATAGTTCTGATTTTTTCGGAAACTTTTTATAAAACATTCTTTGTATTGAACAGTTGATCTTCTTATGAGTGTATGGCACTCCGTTTAAAAATATTTATTATATATTATTATCTCCGTCTATTACTAGAAATTTTATTAGTATGACTTCTTTCGTCCGTAATAGTATTTTTATTTGTATTTCCTGACTAACTGCCCTCCTAGCTTCAAACTGACGATAGGGAGCGTTTCAAACCCTCATGGATGCGAGCATTTCATCTATTTCTATCGCAATGACTTCTCCCAGCTATGATAAAGTTATTTATGGACACTTAAACCTTGGATCTCAGTCGGAGATCATACTGAGGATGTGATGCTTAGCCGTTCTGTTGAGCGCTTATTACTAAATGGAAAATGAACTAGCAATACTAAATTCCCTAATAAAAAAAAATTTTACTCGGTATTTAACTATTTAAAAATGACGTCATTACTACATGCGTATAAATTTAGTTTGTAATTTTAGCTCCATTGTTCAATGGCTCGTTGGTCTAGGGGTATGATTCTCGCTTCGGGTGCGAGAGGTCCCGGGTTCAAATCCCGGACGAGCCCAGTTTCATTTTTGGATTCTTCAGTTTTAATAAATTATGTTTTTAGATAAGTGAAACAAATATAAAAAATAAACAAATGTAGAGCCAAACACGCAAAGACAATGTTTTATCCTTTTTCACTCGTTAAATAAACACTATTTTCCCGTCGTTCAAACGTTGTGGTTAATTTTTTATTTTTTCTCCTAATCGTTGGTATTCTACTAACGGGGTATTCCAATTACGTGCTGCTAGATAGGTGAGCTCACGGGGCTCAACCTGAGGGAATTTGCTAGCTCTAGCAAGAGCAGTGCTTCGCTGAATCAACCACCGGATCGGAACCGCTACCAACTGAGAAGATTCGGCGAACAACTCAATGAGTTGTGCGTAGGTTTTTTTTTATTGCTTAGATGGGTGGACGAGCTTACAGCCCACCTGGTGTTAAGTGGTAACTGGAGCCCATAGACGTCTACAACGTAAATGCGTCACCCATCTTGATATATAAGTTCTAAGGTCTCAAGTATAGTTACAACGGCTGCCCCACCCTTCAAACCGAAACGCATTACTGCTTCACGGCAGAAATAGGCAGGGTGGTGGTACCTACCCGTGCGGACTCACAAGAGGTACGTCGAACTCTTCGTTCCAGTTCGACGAGAACTGTGACCAGTGCTTGGATTGTCTAAAAGCACCGAAAGTGGATCAGGAGGATCCGATAAGACATGCTTAGGGCCACGGCGACTTTGCGTTACCCCATCGCCTTGATTATTTTTTAACTTCACGCTTTTCATGTTTTATTTCCTATTTTTTATCTGCAACAGCAGGCAGGTATACTGCACGCGTGATGGTGAGTGGTCTCCATCGCTCGAGAACATTAATGCCCAATATTTATTTAAGGGATTTTGTGACCTGGTAACTAAGACCTTTAAGTCGTGTTTTATTTTAATTTTTATTTTTATTTTTTTGAAAAAATGATAATATGGAGTGAAATGAAATGAAGATGATTAATTTGAGACATTATCAACTGGGATGAAATTAATGAAATGAAATGAGACGATATGGAATGAAACATAATCTCAGTAAAATGGTGGTCATTTACTGAGATTATTCAGTGGACTTTTTGCAAGATCTGGAGAAATTACGTTCAGCGACTTTGTTACATTTTCCCACATTTGTGCACTTTCACAGATATTAAACAGTTAATAAACAACCTTTATTATACATTTAAACCTGAAGAAACACTAAATAAACAAAATAAAACAAATCACACAACTTCGCTCCTCGCGTTCCCGCCAAAAAGTCTCAAAAAAAGGCCAAAAAACTGGCCACTATTGACCAGCTTTCAAACTCGGTATCAAGAAGTACATATTAGAGCACATGGAAAACACCTTGGAAGTTAATTGCAGCACGGAAGGATACGTTAGAAAAATAATGCATTGTCGATGAAGGCGGTCTCTAGTAATATTACAGAATTTTCTTTGGTCGATTGCTATTTCAAAAACATCCTCAGAGTTCTTGTGGAACCTATAGCGCATATTACAGTACTGCTGATAAATCGTATTATGAACTTATATGAGCTTGTATCAGTATTTTTTATTTACGACTAGCTGACCCGGCAGACTTCGTAGTGCCTCAATCGTTAAATAAAAGACCTAAACTTTTACATAAAATAAACTTAAAACAAACAAAAGGAATCCGTCCGACGGGGGACACATCCAAGAAAAACAAAATTGTTATTTTTATTTCATTCCGAGCATTTTCATATTTATCTACTTTTTAAACCTTCTCTGGACTTCCACAAATAATTCAAGACAAAATCAGCCAAATCGGTCCAGCCGTTCCGAGTTTTAGCGAGACTAACGAACAGCAATTAATTTTTATATATATATGTAGATATAATTGAGGTCGATGGGTCTTGAGCCATGATCACGGAACTCACTTTCTTGATCGATGACTTTTGCGTTTTGATGTCCATTCTGTAACCGCTAAACAAGTAGGCATTGATCGGAAAATATAGGCGGGTACGAGCAGTTAAACTATTTTAATTAACTTGCTCATTCCATTTCTAAAGGATAGGCAGAGAGCCAGATATGACAATACTATTACAAAGACAATTTATTTTTGAATGTCACTCCACTCGCAGGAAATTGCCCTTCGGACCCTTCGTTGTGGATACAGTAAACTTAATTATATTTTTGTTAAACTCAAATATTCGAATATTGTGTTTTCACGAAGATTTGTGGCCCAGAAATGCTTGGTTCACATTATTATGAGTGTTTATAAATAAATTAATGAAGTTAGCAAAACTCTCGGATTCAAGATGCCAAGATTCGTTAAGATGTCGAATTTTGTCATGAAAACAAATATTACAAGCAATATCGTCTTGCTTTGCGTCTTATTTAGTAGTCAGAAATCATTCCAATATAGTTAGTTCAGGCTTTTCCCTGAAGTTAATACGGAGACCTCAGCCAAAGAACATTCTGATATGATACAAAGATAAGGAAAACCCATACGCCGGGAACTTGGCTCGAAAAAAATCATTTGTTGTCGGTAATGTTAACTATATTTTTAGATATAGACTCGATTAATTTTCCATTCAAGCCGTCTTAGAGCATTGTTATACTTCTCAGTTATATTTTCATTTATATCTGTCGTGGTCTTCATGACATTATTTTGGAAGCCCTTGTTGTTTGCTTTACTAAATCTCACCTTCTGCTTTTATTTGTCGTTCCTTTGCTATGTACTGAGCGTCTCCAAGTATTACCACGATTTTAAGGGTATATATATAATCTATCGTTATGCAGGCGGCCATATTGTGTTGAAAATGAACTACAATCAACTCGCGACAGACGGGGGAAATTAGGTTGTTAAACTCATTTTGGCAATTTAATTAATAGCAGTGATTTTATTAAATTAAAGCGCGGTAATATTGCTCAAAGCTATTATATTGCGAAATAAAAAATCATTGTCCACATGTGTAGATTTCACTTGAACCTTGAAAGATGATCGTTCTTGTGGATCTATAAGTTTTTAATTATGTTTTAAGTCATCATTACGAAGTTAAAACTAATCACTTATCATCTTTCTCTGTCATGAAATTAAGATTCTGGTACAATTAGTAGGCGACAAATTGCAGAATAAAAAAAATCTCATTTTTGCTTTTTATTTTATAATTAATTATTTTATTTTAACAATTTGTGTTTTACGAAAACAGTGAGTCAGCATATCACTATGTGGGAGCGGCATTCTAATCGGCTGAGTTGTGGGTGGGGGATCCACTAAGCTTATAGGACTCTATTACAAAGTTTTTTTAAAAATGACATAGTAATATTTCCGAGCGAATACAATTGTCTCGCATTCAATTACAATAGATTTAGCCCAACATGTCGGAACCTTCGATCAACAATAGTAACTAGATTTCGGGTCGGTGCATAAAATCCGTCTCGTCAAATAACAGCGCACTTGAAATGTGAGCTCTTATTTTGTTTAGTTCACTTCAAACACAGCCAATGTCAACCCGTCTCACAATACCGCAGTGTGTATTCAAAAGTTGCAAAAATAAGGCCCGAATAAGGCCCGAATAAGCAATTTAACGGCCGGAGTATCTTACTTTCGGTAAGTACATGAAGTATAAACTATATTGTAAGCTTTATACTTATAAATAATATTAAATTTTGAACAAAATTACCGATTTTTAACCACCGCTACAAATGTTGGCCAAGGCTCGGCCAACACATGGACAAACTTTTGCTTAACAGAACAGTAAATGCATGGAGTAGATTTGTGTTGTAATAATTTTTTAAAATTTGTTAGCAGCACTTCAAAATTAGTTGGTT